CTCCAGCCATTGTGGCCACCTGGGCAGTGAACCAGCAAATGGAAGATCTCTCTGTCTCACCCTGTCCATGCTCACCTGCCCCTGTAACTCTGCATTTCAAATAAATAAATCCTAAAAAGAAAAAAAAAAGAGCCACACACCTGGAGGCCAATGTTGCAGCACAGGGAGCTAAGCTGCCACCTGAGATACTGGCATCCCCTATCAGAGCGCCAGTTCAAGTCCTGGCTGCTCCACTTCTGATCGTGCTTCCTGCTAATGTGCCTGGGAGAGCAGTAAAGGATGGCCCTAGCACCTGGGCACCTGCCACTCAAGTGAGAGACCTGGATAAAGCTCTGGACTCCTGGATTTGACCTGGACCATCGTGTGTGTGTCTGTGTGTGCGTGTATGTGTGTGCGCGTGTATGTGTGTGTGTGTGTATGTATCCCTCTCCCCTTCAAATAAATAAGTAAATCTTTAGATAAATAAACAAAGAGCCACGCCTTCAGCCCTGAGACACTGGTGCTATGGCCAGGGCTGCCTGTTTGGGTTCCTTCAAAGGGCTCCCTAGGACCGCGTCCTCAGCTGTCCTCTGGCGTGTGGGTCTGGGGCGGCGTGCCAGCCGAGGGAGTGTCAGGTTCCGGCGGCTGACCGGGATCCACTTTCACCAGCTGCACAGCACATTCCCAGGCGTCCCAGAACTGGCTGCAGCAACCTGATGAAAGGCCCTTGGCACCCACCTGGCAGTTCACCCATGTCCATAGCTCCCTGTCACACGCGGCCGCGCTGTGAATCATCAGCCCCACGGTGACAGGAGCAACGGCATTCTCCTACACCTCCCAGTAGAGCCCCGTCATGCCAAGCAGGGGCCTGAGCTAAGAGCCACGCCATCCCGGGTTTCAACTCTCCCTTTTGCAAGGGGGTGCAATGTCTTCCCACTGCCCGGCACCCACTGGAGAGAATGGTACAGGTGACAGCGAAGGCTCGGAACCTCGCTGACCCCACTACTCTGTGGCTCGAGAAAAACCCCTTCAATTCTCTGCGCCTCAGTTCCCTCACCGGGGAGAGGAGCAAGGTAGCATCCCCCTCTGGGGCTGACGTGAACGTGACATGTGACGCCCCAGGCCTGGGCTTGAAGTTCACGAGCAGCTGCCTGCTGACTTGTTCCTACACAAAGATGACACTTAGAAGGGGGCAGACCAGTTGGCCAGAGACAACCTGCTGCTCACCTGCTGTTCGGCATAATGAGTGACGGAGCCTCCTCTCCCTTTCTCTCCAGGGTGTCCTGGTTTAGCGGACAGATCACATGGTCATCCCACTGACAATCCACCTCGAGAGAGAATGGGTCCAAGGGGCCGGCGCTGTGGCTCAGCAGGTTAATGCCCTGGCCTGAAGCACCAGCATCCCATATGGGCACCAGTTCGAGACCCAGCTGCTCCACTTCTGATCCAGCTCTCTGCTATGGCCTGGGAAAGCAGTAGAAGATGGCCCAAGTCCTGGGGCCCCTGCAGCCACATGGGAGACCCAGAAGCAGCTCCTGGCTTTGGATCGGCACAGCTCCGACCGTTGTGGCCAATTGGGGAGTGAACCATTGGATGGAAGACCTCTCTCTGCCTCTCCTCTGTGTAATTCTGACTTTCAAATAAATAAATAAATCTTAAAAAAAAAAAAAAAGGGTCCAAGCCAGAGGATGCTGACCACAAGCCTAGAGAGGGTCTGGAAAGACTTGTGCATGGAGCCCGTGGGGCTGCTGTTGGGAGCACTTTAGACGTACTAACTAAGATGTCCCAATGATCCCAGAAAGCAGGTGCTGCATGTATTCCTACTGCATACATCAGGAAACTGCAGCACAGAGGTGAGGTCACAGGTCACAGGCCACACAGTGAGATTCAAAGCCAGGATAGTCCCAGGCGCGGTTAGCCACCGCTCTCCCCTGCCTCGCACATCCAAATTTCACCTGCACGTGAAAATCCAGATCCTATATATAATTCTCCATTTCGGGGTTGGTTGTTTGTTTTGTTTATTTTTGGCAATTGTTCTAAGACTTTATTGCCCAGCAATCAAAAGTATGCATTTTTCTACATAATGTACTATGAAGTTATTATCAAGTGTGATTTTTCATCATTCTGTTCATCTGCTTTCTCGACCACTTCATTTCCTCTTCCAAACTGTCACGTGCCACACTTGAGTCAATGAAGTACTTTTAAACACGACAGCCATGGGGCCGGAGCTCTGGTGTAGCAGGTGAACCCACAGCCTACAGTGCCAGCATCCCATATGGGCACTGGTTTGAGTCCCGGCAGCTCCACTTCCGATCCAGCTCTCTGCTATGGCCTGGGAAAGCAGAAGAAGATGGCCCAAGTGCTTGGGCCCCTGTACCCGCGTGGGAAACCTGGAAGAAGCTCCTGGCTCCTGGCTTCAGATCAGTGCAGCTCTGGGCATTGCGGTCAATTGAGGAGTGAACCATCGGATGGAAGACCTCTCTGTCTGTCTCTCTGTCTCTGTCTCTCTGCCTCTGTCTCTCTGCCTCTGTCTCTCTGCCTCTGTCTCTCTCCTTCTCTCTGTGTAATTCTGACTTTCAGATAAATAAATAAATCTTAAAAAGAAACCACGACAGCCAAAGATCTGAGTATTCACCTGCAGTACCCATATGCTCAACACGAACTCTTGGAACCTCAGTACATTCGGGGGTTCTCCAAGTTTATTCACAGCCTCTTGTGTGATGGTTTGTGAAACACTTGTCACAACCTTCGTACATCTTCAAAACACACAGGCTTTGCAGCACCTCCAACAGATCGGCGACGGACCCACCTACTCTGGCCCTGCCATGACTGCACGGCTGAACACTTCCAACGCCCATTTCTCTCCACACTCAGGCAGGGGGAAAAAGCTAATTCTCCATAGCTGTGTTCTCTCACTCACTCTGGCCACCCGAGGGTTACACCGTCTTATGGCACTAAGTGGCTGCTGCACATCCTTTGGTTTCTTCCAGAACCCTCCTTGCTCTCGTCATGTTTCTCTCACACAAATGACTGTATGGCACGCCCACGTCCTACACCAGACGGCGTGGGGAGAGCTCTGCCTCCACGCACAAATCCAGCTTCCTGCATGTGCACCCTGGGAGGCAGTGGTCATGGCTCAAGTAGGTGGGTCCCTGCACCCAAGAGGAGGCCCCCAGATAGAGTTCACTTCAACCAAGCCCAGCCCTGGCCATTACAGGCATTTGGAAAGTGAACCAGCGAATGGGAGATGTTTCTCTCTCTCTGCTTTTCAAAATAAAAATTTTTTTTAAAAAACTGTTTTCCATGAATTGTCACCCATGTGATCAGAAACAAGTCTCTTCCTGCTGAGGTGTGTTTTCGACCACCTGGCTGAACGGATCCACACTCACCCTCTCCCTCCCCCCCCCCCCCCCCCCCCAGTACCACGATCAAGGCAAGTCCTCCAGCTCTTACAGCTTCCTGGACAGGCAGACTGTCGGCACCAGGGTCTAAGGCCTGCTGCCCCGGTCCCGAGGGATCTGAATTCTTCCTTTTCTACTGTCGGTCCCCGGAAGCCACCCACAGGAACCCTGCATGTTTCTGGCAGAGTCTGACCCAGGGGACAGCAATGCCAACAGACTCAGGGCTCAACAGCTCTGGCCCAAGCTAGTCCAGGGCCACGCCCGTGGCCGTAGAAAAGCAGAGGTGATGCCACTGCCTTGCCATCCTGGCCTCCAGTTAGCAATCAAACATTTACTCAGGCTTTACTGAGGGTGACATGGTACCACTTGGAGACAGGAGCGAGCTCAATTTTACCACTGCACTGCGAAAAACTCAGTAAGCAGACGGATACCATGAAACTAGAGAGAGAATGGGTGACTCACTTAAGACATATTTGTGAGAGCACTTCAAAAGGCTCGGGGGAAAATGAAATGGAAAGATGTATATTTTGATGCAAAAAAGTGTTTGAAATCCATGCACAGTTTTTCTTGTAATACACATTTTCTGTGAACTTCGTGAAGGCTGTTTGTGGGTATGCACATACCTTTAAGAGCAGATCTCCACTCTCTAGATGGGTTATTCTCCAACATACCTCTGCAGGTAGCTGTTTAGAAAGCAGTTCCCCACAGAAACACACAGAAGGGGGTCCGTGTGCCAGAACCGCCCATCCAGGCATGCCGAGATAGTAACCGTCCCCTTTAAGACCTGCTCCACCCCAGGACCCTTACATACAAGGTCTGATCTCATTCTCAACGTAACTCTGAGAGGCAGTCTTCTGTATCCCTGCCTTAGAGGCAAGGGCACTTGCAGGGTCTGGCACGCAGCAGGGCCTGCTAGGCCTGGCTCCGAAGCCTGTGTCCTTGTCACATGTCCTGCTATGCTAACAGGCAAGCAGCAGGGTTAAGGACTTCTCTTCTGCCCCTCATTGAGGGAGACACTTTAAGGGAATGACAGAACCTCTGCTGCAGTCACAGCCACTCAGCAGGTGACAGAAGACCAAGATGATCTGTGTCTTTTTTCAAAAATTATTTTCAGTCTTTTTATTTGAGAGGCAGACATAGAGCTTCCATCTACTTGTCCACTCCCCAGATGCCTGCAACGGCTGGGACAAGGCCGGGGCCAAAGCTGGGAATTCAACCCAGGCCTCCCCTACGAGTGGCAGGGATCCAATTACTTGAGTCATGAGCTTCTGCCTCCCAGGGTCTGCATTAGCAGGAAGCTGGAGTCAGGAGCCAGTGCCGGGTACTGAACTCAGGCACTCAGATATGGAAACTGGCATCTCAAACACTGCATCAAACGCCTGCCTCAGATCTATTTCATTTCTTGGGTGTGCCCCAAGAAGAGGCAGAGCAGAGCAGAATGCAAGATGACAGCTTGGCAAATCACTCAAGAGTTTGTTCTTCAAACCAAAGCCCCACCTCGGGTTTCATGGGCACGTGTGCAAAAGCATCTTATTAAAAGCTGACTTTCCCCAACTCTCCCCTATGGCTCCGGCCCCCTATGCAAGGAAATGAGGCAGCGCTCTGCTCGCCAGCACTCACCTTGTCAGCCAGCAGCTCCCTGATCTTGCTGGCCTGTAGGCGGAACCGGAAAAGCTGTGTTTCCAGGGCCAGGCAGCGTTTCTGCCAGTCCACGCTAGCCCGCGACTCCACCTTGACTTCCGCCATGATGGAAACAACTTCTGGATGTTCCAGGGAGGCCTAGGAACCAGCGAAGTGAGAGAGGACAAGATAAGCAAGTGCAACTCCACCACAATTGGTCATGACAATTTGGTCATAAAAGGAGCAGGCAAGGGGGCGGAGTGTGCCGGGGGTGGTGCCTGGGGAAGGCTCAAGGTGGGTAACAGAATGGTTCAGGGTCATGTAGCTAACTGGGGGCAGAGCCCCAGCTTCCTGCTGACTTCCGACCCTACTACTGCAAGACACATTAGCTGGGGTATGAATGCAAAGAAAATAGAAGGGAGATTTACCCAGATGCCCTCTGGATATGTCTCAGAGAAGACACACTGGGTGTAGGATGAGAAAGGAGGAATGCACAGTGTGTGAGACAAAGGGACACAGGTGTGAAGTGAGCAAAGAGCTCACTCGCTGGCAGGATTTTTTTTTTTTTTAAGATTTATTTATTTATCTGAAAGAGTTACACAGAGAGAGAAGGAGAGGCAGAGGCAAAGACAGAGAGAGAGAGAGAGAGAGAGAGAGGTCTCCCATCCGATGGTTCACTCCCCAACTGGCTGCAATGGCCAGAGCTGCACTGATCCAAAGCCAGGAGCCAGGTACTTCTTCTGGGTCTCTTACGTGGGTGCAGGGGCCCAAGGACTCAGGCCATCTTCTACTGCTTTCCCAGGCCATAGCAGAGAGCTGGATTGGAGGAGGAGCAGTCGGGACTAGAACCGGTGCCTATAAGGGATGCTGGCACTTCAGACCAGTGCTTTAACCCACTGCGCCACAGAACCAGCCCCAGTTCTTTATACTGATCTCTCTACCAAAAAATTAGTGGTTTTTAAAGATTTTATTTAGTTGAAAGGCAGTGACAGAGAGAAAAAGAGGCAGAAACAGAGAGACAGAGAGACAGAGATCTTCTACCTGCTGGTTCACTCCCCAAATGGCCACAACAGTCAGGGTATGGGGGTATGGCCAACCAGGAGTCAGGAGCCTGGAGTTCCATCTGGGTCTCCCATGTGGGCGGCAGGGGCCCAAGGACGTGGGCCATTGTCTGCTGTTTTCCTACATTAGCAGGGCGCTGGACTGGAAGCAGAGCAGCTGGGATTCTTTTTTTCCAAAAGAAAATACTGCAACAGCAGCCCCATGCTGTTTTACATCCCCTTGTCTCTCCTCAGGAGGTCTGCGACAGCTGAAGACCCTCACCTCCTGTGCTATTTCCAGATGTTATCTCGGAGCTGATGGTTGATCACCCACACTGTTCCTCACATCTGTCCCACTACACATGGCTATCACAGCGTCCATGCTGCTGACAGCCTATGAGACAAGCGGTCAGGACTGTGGTCCACACTCACAGGGACAGAGAGCCTAGGAAACTGGCACCACCTACTCCACAGCGCGAGAGCAGCGGGGCTGGGACTCCAAAGTCCTTGTTCCCAGCCACTGTGCTCTTCAAAACCCAGAAAGGGTTCTCATTTCACACAGGGCGAGGCGGACTGTTAAAGAGAGGAACATTCTAGAGGAACTTCCAGAGCCTTAGCCTCAAGGTAAAGCTACGCGGCAGACCCTGGGCAGCATCCTGGGCTCAAACATCCTAACACTACAATCTCCACCAAGCACTGGCACTCGGCACATATCCCGACTTTGTGCTTAAAATATAAGGTAGGGGCCGGCGCTGCAGCGTAATGGGTAAAGCCTGCAGTGCCAGCATCCCATATGGGGGCTAGTTCAAGTCCCAGCTGCTCCACTTCCAATCCAGCTCTCTGCTACGGCCTGGGAAAGCAGTAGAGGATGGCCCAAATCCTTGGGCCCCTGCAGAGACCCGGAAGAAGCTCCTGGCTCCTGGCTTCGGATAGGCCCAGCTCCTGCTGTTGCGGCCATCTAGGGAGTGAATCAGCAGATGAAAGATCTCTCTGCCTCTCTGTACTCTGCCTTTCAAATAAATAAAATAAAATAAATAAATAATAATAAAAGGTCTACTGGAGTGGATGTTCTGCCTAGTGGTTAAGATGCCTCTTGGACATCAGAGTGCCTGAGTTTAAGTCCCAGCTCCATTCTGATTCTGCCTTCCTGATAATGCCAGTACTCAGCAAGTACTCAGGTCCCCGCCATTCGCCTGGGAAACCTGGGTTGTGTTTCCAGCTCCTGGCTTCAGCCTGGCCCTGCTCATCCCAGGCCACTGTGGCTATCTGGGCAGGGAACCAACAAGCAGATGGGAACGTAAGTCTGTCTCTCAAATAAATAAGTAAATGAATTTAAAAAATAAAAATCACAAGCTTCAAAATTAATCAAATAAAACCAAAATAGCAAACAGGGCCTAGGGGCCTGAAGACAACAGCCCAACAATCAAGCCACTGATGGGTCTGGTGGCTGAGGCACTCAGTTCTGGGCTCCTCCGAACACTGGACACATGACCTCAGCCCTGCTCTCCCAGCGCTGTCACCCCAAACAATCCCGACATTGTGGCCTCCCGGCCATCCCCACCTCAAAAGACTGGGACCAACTGGGACGGACAGGAAGACAAAAGACAAAAACAAAGCATGACCTTTCTGAGCTAGGATCACAGCTGAGAGACAAAACAAAACCTTGGGGCGGGAAGCTCCGTGTTTGATTTTCTTTATCCTTCAAGGAGACTTTGCTTTTCCTTGCATAAACAGAAGAAGTTAAAGATCTGAGACAAGGACCTGGGAGCCTTGTAACCTATCCCCAGGGCTAAGAAATCCCAATAGAAGTACCCCAGTGAAGCCAAAGGGCGGGGAAATGCAGAGCTAAGTTTGATTCAATGTACTTCACTCTTACTGATGGCCAAAGCTGCCGCTGAGTTCCACGGACAGAGGGAAAACCCAAGTTAGCAGAAATCTCTGGGGTCTCTGGAAATAAAATCTGTCACTGGTCTCTGCCTCGTCCTGATAGCTTAGCTGACACAGGCTTTAGGGAGCATTTTCTCTAGCCAAGCGTCTGCATGACCTCACGTTTCTGAACCGATCAAGAGGCCTGGTTAATCCTCTGCCCGCCTTGGAGGTGCTGGCAGGTTCCACGGCTTGCCGCGGCATGTGGGGAGAGCCGAGCGGTTTGGAAACAGCTCTGGAGTAAGGTGCCTGCTGCCAAGCCCAAGGCCCAGAGGCTCTTCCGACAGCTGCAGGTGGTCAGCGCAACAGCTGTAAAACCAGGGCTATTAAGGGCAGAAGCCAGTTAAGTCGAACCTCACCTGCTAAGGCACCTTGCCCTCCGACCTCCCACAAAGACATGCAAGGGTGCGCAGGAGGGAAACTTCCATTTGCAGGACGGCTTTAACACTTCAAACAAAGCACCGCCACGTGTGTGTGATTTTAGACAGAGGATAAGTTCTACGTTCACGACAAACAGGTGAGGAAAACTCACTGCATCTGTCACCCGCTTAGAGCCATAAAGCAAAGGAGAGAGCGGAGCTGGGCCATGAATCTGACCTCCCACTATCGAGAACTGTCCTGTTTCCACGATGCTGCTGCTGCCGTGGTAGCAGATGTCTCACGCCCCGAGGCAAGCCTATCACAAACAGAATACTACAGGCAGAACCAGATGGGGAAATGAGACCTACACCCAACTGGGGAGCACCCGGGTTTGAAGCCCAGCGCCAGCTCCCGATTCCAGCTTCCTGCTGACGCAGATCCTGGGAGGCGGCAGTGATGGTGCGAGTCACTGGGTCCCTGCCAGCGGAATCCCCAGCTCCTAGCTTTGGCTGAGCCCAGCCCCGGTCAATACCAGCATCTGGGGAGTGAACCGGCAAACAGGAGTTCTCTGTTTCTCTATACCTCAAGTAAACAAGGTTGCTTTACAGCTCAATTGATTCCCCCCATCTTTCATTCTGGAAAGCTCCAACCCACACAAGAAGTCAGGAGAACAGTACGATAAATCCCTCTGTGCCCCTGGCCAGCCCCAGCTCTCATCAACTCACGGCCACCCTTGTGATCCCTGTTCTCTGGAGTCCTGTGATGCCCAGAACACTACACCACTTGGCAGGTGAATCAAACGATAGCCATGGCCGTGACACTGGCTTTGGAGCTCCCCAAATCCTCTAGTACCCAGACTGAAATGCCACCGAGGTCAGCAAGGATGTGACTTCACACTGCTGGGGCAGGGGGGAGCGCATCAGCAAAACACAAACTTGACCTGGGAGCTCTCCAACCAGAAACCGACAAAAGGCTGAAATCCAATTTAATTCAAGGAGCTTTTGTTAAGGGATTCCGACAAGGAAGGTTGAAGATACAAATGATGGATAAAGACCCTTCGGCTCGCGAGCCTCAAGTACAAGTCTGCACGTCCTAGGATCTCCCTGCAGAGGGACAGACAGGCCCCACAGTACATCACTCGGATGACGCAGGGGGCATTAGACAGTCACAGGGCTTCCAGGTGGGTACAACCCTGTAATTCCCACCATGCTCTCCTGTGTTCACGCCCAGAGTGTGAGCACCTGTTGGCTATGCCACGTTGCTAGTGCTGAGCTCCCAGCATCTTCTAACAGTGCTCACCTGCACGAGGCTGACCACCTGCCCCAGGGCTGGGAAAGGAGCCTCCTTCTGGGCAGGGAGGAAAGCGTGCACAGGGCCCCTGCACAGGGGCCCCTGAATTCACCACTGTCACATTCCACCTCTACTGGGGTCAGCGACACATTGCACACGACGAAGGGAAGGGACAAAGGAAGCAACAAGTGTGTCCCAGGACTCAAGATCTAAATACCAAAAGGAGTCAGGACAACCAGAGACAGCATCCCTCAAGAATAAAAACAGCCGGCGCCGCGGCTCACTAGGCTAATCCTCCGCCTTGCGGTGCTGGCACACTGGGTTCTAGTCCCGGTCGGGGCGCCAGATTCTGTCCCGGTTGCCCCTCTTCCAGGCCAGCTCTCTGCTGTGGCCAGGGAGTGCAGTGGAGGATGGCCTAGGTCCTTGGGCCCTGCACCCCATGGGAGACCAGGTATAAGTACCTGGCTCCTGCCATCAGATCAGCGCGGTGCGCCGGCTGCAGCGCACCGGCCACGGCGGCCATTGGAGGGTGAACCAGCGGCAAAGGAAGACCTTTCTCTCTGTCTGTCTCTCTCACTGTCCACTCTGCCTGTCAAAAAAAATTAAATAAATAAAATAAAAACAGCACAGAGAACCAGCGTGTAGGACCTACGACCCCACACTCAGGCAACCAACAGGTCTGATGTGAACACTGGCTCAGGCACTACATAATCCCATGACCTTGCACCGTCTCTTTACCTGCTCCGACCCTCAGGTCAGAAATGGAGGGCAATGTTTCAAAGTGAGGGCAAAAGGTATTCGCCAGAACCATATGAAAGACGCCAGCTTGGCGCCACTTCTTTGAGCTTCAAAAATGACAATTTCATGGACCCCATCATACAGAATTATTTTGAGAAACAAAGGAGATATTACAAAAGCCACGCACACAGTAAGCACTCAATAAAAGATAGGTATTGTGACTCTCAGAGAACACAAGGAAAACCAACCACGACCTGGGCATGGAGGAGATACAGCCCACAGATGTGTACACTATCAGCTTCACTTAGGAAAGGAGGTCAAGCAGTTTTTAAGGTTTTTTTTTTTTTTTTTAAGCAATTAATGAGTTTCTATTTTATTTGAAAGACAGACACCAAGACAGAGACAGATCTCCCACCTGCTGGTTCACTGCCCAAAAGCCCACAACAACCAGAGCTGGGCCAGACCAAAGCCAGGAGCCAGGAACTCCATCCAGGTCTCCCACAATGGGTGGCTGGGATCCATCACCTGCTGCAGGGTGCACGCTGGCAGGAAGCTGGAATTGGGAGCAGAGCAGGCGATTCAAACTCAGGCACTCTGATATGAGGCAGGTATCCCAAGTGGCATCTTAACCACTCTGGCAAATGCCATTACCTCCTACCCCCAAGGCTATGTAACAGCTGTGATATATTCTCTCCTGTCTTATTTAAGGCTCCCTGACTGACAGATAGCTGGGTGGTTTCCAGCCGTTTGCTAAAATAAACAATGCTGCAGTGAACATCCACGAATATACATCCTCTCAGTACACCAGAGGGTACCCAAAGGACAGTTCTAGAAACGAAATCCGAAATCCGTAGGGTTAAGTGATGTACATTTCAAATTTCCAGGAAGCCAAGCCGCCCTCCCCTGAGGCCATCCTAAGTCACACCTGGGCCAGCAGTGTTGGTTTCCCCATGGTAGAGGTCAGGATGTCAGCTAAACAGCTAGCCTGCTGGAAGCCCACTGGAACAGGGGCCAGGGAATCCCGGCACAGTAGCCACCACAGGTATAAAGGGTTCTCCAACCCATAAGCAGTACAGAGTTCAGCACACAGGTGCTTGGCCTCACAGAGGTAAGAACAGAAACAGCAGGGCCCGGTGTTGTGGCAAAGCAGGTTGAGCCGCTGCCTGCGACACCGGCATTCCCTATGGATGCCAATTCAAGTCCCGACTGCTCCACTTCCCATCCAGCTCCCTGCTGATGGCCTGGGAAAAGCGGCAGAAGATGGCCCAAGTGCTCAGGCCCCCGCTACCCGCATGTGAGACACAGAAGAAGCTCCCGGCTTCAGCCTGGCCCAGCGTTGACCTTTGTGGCTATCTGGGGAGTGAACCAGAGGATGGAAGATCTCTTTCCCTCTCTCTAACTCTGCCTCTCAAATAAGTAAATCGAGAGAAAGAGAGGGAGGGAATAGACAGCAATGCACCAGGGCAGAGTGGCGTGGTGGGGGCACACTTCTCCCCCATCGCTGGCAAAGGGCCACCACACTTTCCCAGCTCAATTGTTAGTTTCCAGTTTGGCAACACAGGGAGCACCTGACCATTAGCCAGCTCTGAGCAGGCAGTGGACCCGGGTCCGCCTTTAGGATTTCTAGAGTCCTGCCTCTTTCTCTCTTCGGCTGTAATGACCTTGGGTCAGTCGCAACTTTCCGGAGTCCCAGTTTCCTCTTTTCAAGAGGGGAACAGTAATACGCTGATATTCTAGGAAGCAAGAAGTCGCGGCGCCGGCACCACCCACTGTGCCTGGAGCGCAGAACCAGTCCAAAAAGTTTCCCGAAGGAACTAAGGAGTCTTGCACAGAAAGAGCTCCGTCGATCACCCTCCACCCCTGTCCGCAGCGCCCAGGCTCAGCCCACGGGTGTCTGCCGAGGTGGACTCCTAGCAAAGCTTACGGGGACGTCCTGGCAGGGGTGGGGGCGTCACTGCCTCTGCCGCCCCCGCGACCGATTCCTCCCTCCAACTCCAAAGGCACAAAGCCCTGATGTCATTCGGCGCCCAACCTGTTTTCTCTTCCGCTCGGCTGACCTGCCCCTAGGCGTCCAGCCTGACCCATAAGGACCCCTGAGAGAACCATCCAGAAATCACAGGAGAAATAACCTAAGAGGAGGAGAGGAAGGGGCGGCAGGGTTGAAAGTGAGCGAGCGCCCACAAGGTGGAAGCCTGCGCGTCTGCTTCCCCGAGCAACTGGATCACTCCAGTCCCCAACGCCAGGTTCCTCTCCCCGCAAAGCTACTCCTGCGGGTGCCCGGACGCTCCCGGCTCCGCAAGCCCGACCAGCGCGGCTCCCGGCGCTCCCCGCCACCGGGCGCTCGCTTCCAGGTAGGGAGGCACCTGCTCCCGACCCGACCCGACCCGAGGGAGCCGGCCCCCGCCGCCCCGCCAGACACCCACGCCCGCCGGCCCCGCGGAACGCGCGGAGCCGCTCACCTTCCGCGAGCTCGCGTGCGTCCCCGCCGCGCACCGGGCTCACGCGCGCCCTGGGCGCGCCGCCGCCGCCGCCGCCGCCGCTGACCTTGCGTCGCTCCCGCCGGCGTCCCGAGCGGCCGCCGGGTCTCCGCTCCCCGGCAGCAGGGGTCGCGGTGGGCGGGGCGGGGAGAGGCTGGAGCCGTAGGGCTGCCCGCAGGCTCGCTGCACAAAGCTCGGCCGTGCCTCCGAGCGCCCCATTCAGCGCCCGGGCCGGGCTCCCTCCGCCCCCGGCTCCCCTCCCGCTCCTTAAAGGCAGAGCGCCGGGCTGGGCTCGCGGACAGGCACAGGAAATGACCTCAGCAGGCTCCAGCCTCCCACCTCTCCGCACCGCTGGGCTCGAGCTGCGGCCGGCGCGGAGGGCTGCGGGGTCCCCGGGGGCAGCAGGGGCTCCCGGGCCGAGCCCTCGAGCTCTCTGCGGGGGCTGCTTCGGGCCGCGCGCCCTAGGGAACCTGCTGGCCGACAGCGTGGGACCCTCGCAGGGTGGGGAGGGCCGAAGCAGACCCTCCCCCGCCCCCTCGAGGCCACCTGCGAGACCTGTAACGCCCGGATGTTTGGCAGCCCCTGTTTTCACTGCGTCCCGCTGGGAGGCCAAACGTTCTGGTTTGTAATTTGGAGGAGAAAAAAAGGGGGAAGAAAAAAGTCCCCGCCGTCCGGAGGGGACTGCAAAAACGGGGGGGGGGGGAAGGAATTAAAAGATAAGCTTATTTTGGTGTGAAACTGATTTTGAGATCCATACACGTTTTTGGAAGAATCTGTATGAGAGAGAGAGAGTGTGTGTGTGTGTTTATCTCGCTGTTCCTCCATTCACCCAATATAATCCCACACCCGGAGGGCATGGGGACACTCAGCACTTGCTCGGGTGGCTAGATGCCCAAGGAGGGCAGTGAGCGCTGAGATTTCTCTCTCCAGTCCTGCAGGCCCCCCTCAGCCCTGGCTGCAAGGGAAGCAAAACCCCATTCCCCAAGTGGGCATTGGTGAGACTCACCCCAAGCACTAGTGAGGAATCCCCCATCCCCTGCTCCCACCCCAGGTTGGAAACTGAAGCTCAGTGCGCAGGCTGGGGGACTTGCACAGCTGACAAGCTCCCCTGGCCAACCCCAGGCAGGGTTTTGGGAGCGCAGACCCTCGGGAGAGCTGTTCTTGCTGGTGCGGGAGGCCCAGGGTGGACCAGCGGGAGACCAAGACCTGGTACCTCCGGGATAGATTAACCCCGTTCGGTGGGACACTGACCAGGCCAGGAGTCGCCTAAGAAGCCCAACAGCAAGTCCTCTGGGTTTTGCTAAGGGACACCCACCGTTCATTCATTCACTTAGGTTAGGTCGTGCACTTAGTTAGATTTCAAACACGGAAGAGAAGCAGTGAAATACCAGGCTTCCTCACCTCCTGCCCCCACGTAACTCCTCCAGGATCCCAGCTTCCGCTCTAAGTCTTTGTATCCTTTCAAGATATTTTATGCATATAGAAGTATTATGTCTTCATAATAAGAGAGTACTTCAAAATGTGGGAAATGGAATTAAGAGATACATTTATTTTCATGGAAAAAATTTTGAGATCCATGCATAGGAGGGACCATTCAAAAGTTTGTGAAAATGCTTATTATGAAAAAACTATGCATGGATTTCACATTGTTTGCATGAAAATAAAACTATCTTTGACTTCTATTCTTCCACGAACTTTTTGAAGCACCCTCTTACAAATTGTGCGTATGTTAATGCGCATTATGTATCCACATTCACACTTATTACAAAGGAAGCATCCCTTGCTTTTTTTCTCTTGACTATCATCTGTTGACTTTAAGCGTGACATATCAACAGTCTTAGAGCTGCCTTTTTTTTTTTTTAAGTTTCCTAATTTTCTTCATGATGACTATTCAAGATGTTTCTCATCTTTGGCTCTTAAATACCTTGCTACACGGAATACCGTTGTGCATAATTCTCAGTCCATATATGTGCCTGTCTTATGGTCTGAAATTTAAAAGTGTTGGGACAGGCATTATGGCACAGTGGGTTAAGCTGCTGGCTTGCAACACCTGCATCCCATATTGCACTGCTGTTTCAAGTACTGGCTCCTCTGCTTCCTGTTAATGTGCCTGGGAAGGCAGTGGAAGAAGGCCCAAATACCAGGGCCCCCTGCCACTTATATGGGAGACCCAGATGGAGTTCCTGGCTATGGGCTTCAGTATAGCCTGGATCTGGCTGTTGTAGCTACTTAGGAAGTGAACCAGCAGGTGGAAAATCTCTCTGTCTCTCCTTCTGTCTCTGTCACTCTGTTTTTCAAATAAATAAATCTTTTTTTTAAAGATTTGTTTATTTAAAAGGCAGAGTTAAAGAGAGGCAGAAAGAGAGAGAGAAGAAAGAGAGAGAAAGGTCTTCCATCCGCTGGTTCACTCCCCAGATGGCTACAACAGCTGGAGCTATGCCAATCCGAAGCCAGGAGCCAGGAGCTTCCTATGGGTTTACTAGGTGGGTTCAGAGGCTCAAGGACTTGGGCCGTCTTCTACTGCATTCCCAGGCCGTAGCAGAGAGCTGGATCAGAAGTAGAGCCACTGGGACTCAAACTGGCGCCCATATGGGATGCCAGCACTAAGGCAGCGGCTTTATTCGCTAAGCCACAGCGCTGGCCCCTAAACAAATCTTAAACAAAATAAACCTTAGAAGTAGAATCACTGGCTCTAAACATAACGTGAATTTTTTAGAAAGATTTATTTATTTATTTATTTGAGAGGTAGAGTTACAGACAGAGAGGAGAGACAAAGAGACAGGTCTTCCATCTGCTGGTTCACTCCCTAGATGTACCTGCTATGCCACAGCGCTGGCCCCACACAATGTGAATTTTAAATTTCAGTAGATACTGCCAAATGGCCAGCGAAAGAGACTACACCAAGCGATACTCCCATCCCCGTGTTTAAGCTCCCCTTCCTTCCCTCTAACCTGCACCAACAAAATCATCTATCACAAAAGTGCAAATCTTTTAGGAAAGGAAAACTAAATAAATTAACATTCATGGAAGATTTTTAAATACCATTAGCACACAGAAGGGCTCAAGAAAGTGTTGGCCCCTTCAGTGGTTCAAACAGCAATCCTCATGTGACCTATCCCGCCTTAAGGTTTTTTTTAGACCATTTTCGATAGGACAGGCAGAGTGGACAGTGAGAGAGAGAGACAGACAGAAAGGTCTTCCTTTGCCGTTGGTTCACCCTCCAATGGCCGCCGCGGCCGGCGCACCACGCTGTTCCGATGGCAAGAGCCAGGTGCTTCTCCTGGTCTCCCATGGGGTGCAGGGCCCAAGCACTTGGGCCATCCTCCACTGCACTCCCTGGCCACAGCAGAGAGCTGGCCTGGAAGAGGGCAGCCGGGACAGAATCGGGCGCCCTGACCGGGACTAGAACCCGGTGTGCCAGCGCCGCAGGCGGAGGATCAGCCTATTGAGCCACGGCGCCGGCTGCTTTAGCATCTTTTTCATTTCTTTTTTTTTTTCTTTTTTTATTATTTATTTTATTTATTTGAAAGACAGAGTTACAGAGAGAGATCTTCCATACACTGGTTCACTCTTCAAATGGCTGGGCCAGGCTGATGCCAGGAGCTAGGAGTTTCATCTAGGTCTCCCATGTAGATGCAGGGACCCAAGGACTTGGGCCATTCTCCACTGCTTTTCCAGGTGCATTAGCAGGGAGTTAGATGGGAAGAGGAGCAGCTGGGACCCAAACCGGCACCCATATAGGATGCCAGCATTGAAGCAGCAGCTTAACTCGCTACACCACAATGCTTGCCCCTGGGCTCTGCTTTAAGCCCAGTTCTGTAAACCTGGCAAGTTCTTAGTCTCTCTGGAGTTCTAGTTTGCTCGTCTGCAATGTGAGAATCACAAGGTCTCACGGGTTGGTTTGAAGATTAAGTCAGATAATAGAGTTACTTAAATTTTAGGATCCAATGATTGTTCAATAAGTGATCTTCCAACTTTTTATTTTGAAAATTTCAAACCTACGGAAGTTACAAAAATAGTATTTAGAAAGCCATATAACCTTCATCTAGATTTACCACTTGTTAACGTTTTGTCAAATTTCTTTCTCCCGTCTGCTACACACACACATATCTCTCAACTATCTGAGTTAGTTGTACAAACCATGATTCTCTACCCTGAGTGCTTCAGCGGTAACATTCTAAGAACAAGAGTGTCCTTATATTGTCAGGAACTTTAGCATGGATAGAATACTGTCATCTTATACGTGGGTCATATTCAAATTTCCCTGGTTGTCCCAATAGCGTCCTCTGTAGCTCCTCTATTTATTCTTGTTAGCCCCGGCCTAGTGCTCACAGAGTGAATAGATTTGGAGAGGAGAATGGGCCATCCCCCTCCCGCCTGCTTCAGGGAGAGTGACTTCCACAATGAGGAATCCTGGCGTAACCAAGCCACTAGCCAGGTCACTTGCGGGTAGAATGGAGCCTCCCACGGAACACTAGGGGTTGTTCTACCAGCCTTCTTGGCTGACGTTGTCCCCTCTACCTGATCCTGTCCACCCCATGCTAGCAACCCGGGAAGGGTCCTGCCTGCCTCTCTGCAAGGGTCTCTGGTGCCTCTGCCACCCCCAACCCCATTGGTCCCCAAACAGCAGAGGCTGCTGTGGCTCTGGGAAAGCCTGATGTTGGGGACCCCTCAACCATAGCCCCCCATACCATAGGATGAATCCCTATGGATCCCCAGGCTGGCCCACCTCCAGCTGAACCCTAGGATTAAGGATCGGGATGTCTCAGGCACTCTCTTCCCCGATAATCTGTCTTAAGGCATTTTCTGTGTAGCTCCCTCCTGCCCATGGAACTGAGAATGAGGGTCACACTGTGGTTACGGTGGCCACGGGCCAAATTCAGGTAATAGCATCAATGACACAGTCATCTCTCTCATTCATTCATCCCTCTTCCCTTCCATTCATTCATTCATTCACTCACTGTAACTGACTTCCAAGTTGTTCCATCAAGTATTCTATTAGATGCCCCTGACTATAAGTGTGGGTAGGCCCTTTGCTTCCTGCCTCAGTTTGTCCTAATGAAAAATGGGAAAATTGTTTCCCAGCATAGCAACTTTTGAGGTCAAAACATTTGAGAGCTGGAGAAGCAGGTAGGATGAAGTGAGTCACCACAAAATCTGTGCTGGGCGCCATCTTTGGCTGGAGCAATGGTGGGAGAGGGAGGAGAGCAGGTAGGACTGGAGGCCTCCGAGACCTGCTGGATAGGCCCCAAGAAGCCTCAAGGGATCCCAGGGGAAAAGGCCCCCAAACACCTGAAGCTCATTTCTGCGGGATATTAGCTTATGTATTAGTCACAACAAAATACCTAAGACAATCTACTTACGAAAGAAGGTTTCTGGGAGCCAGCGCTGTGGCACAGCAGGTTAAAGCCCTGGCCTAAAGCGCCAGCATCCCATATGGGCACCAGTTCTAGTCCCTGCTGTTGTTCTTCTGATCCAGCTCTGCTATGGCCTGGGAAAGCAGTAGAAGATGGCCCAAGTCCTTGGGCCCCT